ATGGCTAAGGTCCTGGGTAAAAGTACTTATGTGCACGCCCTTTTTAAGGCTGTGCCTGCCCCCCCGGCTTTCATGCAATTAAAAAGTTAGAAATGGTAGTGAGTAGAATCTGGATCCAACTACTGAAACATCATATGTTCATTCATCTTTAGAAACCTATTTCGTACGTCATGCTCTTATCTGAGAAGTGATGGAAGCCTCTATATCCTTGAATGTTTTGGGAAATACTTGCACTGTAGGGAATTAACCTGCACTGGTAGGGCAGCGAACCAAAAATAAACGGCGTTGAGGTCCTTTTGTTCAAGCTAAGCACCCTGATGTTCAGATGCTTGTGGATTTTCATTCTGCAGTCCCCCTTGTGAGTCCAGCTCCCCATGCCTCTTCCTTGCAACGCCCCGTACTGTCCCTTCCCCTCTGCTGCAGCACTAGGCTGACTTTGCCTGCAGCTCTGACTCGATCGTTTTCCTGACCACAACAGATCCTCAGTCGGAGCCCTGGGAGTACAGAAAGAAAAGAAAGAATAACCTTGTGGTCAAGGTACTAGCCTGAAACTTGGATTTTTATAGGCCTTGTCAGACTTGTTTTGTTATAGTGCTTGGAAGTCCCTTAGGGGATGGTTGACAAAAGGTATTTTGTCTCTTAATTACCTTTTGAAATCAATGGGAGATTGTATGTCTAAATATCCGCATGAATTTTATCCTGTATATGTTTGTTTACTGTCTACAAAGGAAAGAACAATACTTTCTTACCTCACAGGACTGTGGGGGAGCAAAAGGAGGGATAGCTATTCTTCAGAAAGGTCTCTATCCTGGAGGGAGGCGCTCTGTATTTACCCTAACCTCTCCTCTGAACCTTCTTCCCTGATAACATCTTCTTGAGCAGATGACCTTCTCTTCCTAATATGCATAAATACATTATGTATGCACACATTTTCTTATATATCTACACATATATACGTTAAAGATGTTATTATTTTAATGCTTCATATATTATTTAAAATATATAGAATATTTTAATCTTAAGTGAAATGCTTTATTTTGTGTAACCCACTGCTTTTACATTCAAACAATTAATTTTTGTTGGGGCTGGGCCATAGGCGTATCTGCAGGCTGCAGAAAGATGTTGGTGTTTTGCCCAGAGTTAGTGGTTGCTGTGCTAAGGTCTTTCCTCACCATCCATGCAGCTTATGTCCTGACTATTTACGATTAATAAAAGCTGGGCCCTTGGCTGCTTCTCACCATGTGTGTTAATCTGGATGGATGGGTGGATCTGAACTGCAACCATTGCTAGGTAGAAAACAGCTTGCTAACACACAATTTAAGGGAAGAAACAAACAATTTATGTATGGTTGAAAGGGCACGAATAATAAGGTAAATGAGTTCTGAGCAAAATGGTCCCTAAGCATTCTTTTCCTGCCTCACAGGCGATCATTTGTATAGAGATCACAATATACTTGCACAACTCTTCTCAAATTTCCCTCCAAACAGAGAAGAAGCCTTACTATGAATTCTTTCTGTGTAGGCGGTCATGTTTCTTTAGGCTCACAGAATGCTTCACTCACTAACAGTCACTCTGATTTGTCTTTAAGATTAGTGATTTTTTTTTCCCAATTAAAACAGAATGTAAAAATATTGCCCAATTAGAAAGCATTATTGAGTGTTTGTAAGTACCCTTGAATGTACTTATCCACTGGGAGCACACAGATGTCTGTTGGAATTTAATTTCTCTGCAGCATGTTGGGGGTGGGGACAGAAGAGAAGTAGCCAGAAAATTATGGTTGCTGCAGTAAATACCAGGCTTCTCCCAGTGACCTGCACTGACTGCAGAGCTTATTACATCTAATGTGAGCATAAAACATCTGTTCAGCAATGCTGTTCTCTGGCTGCTCCATATTTGTACCAGCAAATTACGTGTTCTTGGCTGATTGTTGCCTGTTGTGGGGAGTCATGAAGAAAAGAGGGTGTCACATTTTGAAGCTTATCGTAAAAAAGATCTTATGAAGTACCTGCAAGGCAGCACTTCTCATTAAGCAGTGGCAACCTTGCTTCACCTCTGTGGTGTGGTCCCTTTTGAGCTCCAGAGTCATAGGTGTGCAGGCCATCAGGAATCCTGTGGGTGGATGGTGTAGCCCGTAGCGAGCAGCATGGGCGGTGAATAAGGCTGTTGTTTCACAAAGCTAACTTTAGAGTCCTCTAGGGGTATTTTTCATATGAGAGCTCCTACAAAGTCAGTCTGTGTTGTCAGGTGCTGACACCCTGCGATAAGGCAGAGGTGGTGAACCTTGTGCTCTCAATCTAGCAAATTCTTCTTTGGAGTACAGTACTGCTGTACGTGGTGTGTGCTGTCCTTGCTCTGGGCCATCGAAGGTGAATCTAGGGCACTGCCTTCAGCAGCTTGTGATTTTGCTGGATTTCAGTCATTGTCGGCAAAGCTGGCACTTCCATCTGAGGTGGCTTTTACCTGACCGAAAGGGGTGCAGCAGCACTTGTCACTTGTGCTTTGCAGTAGCTTTTACCCCATCAGGCTACAGAGCTGCAGTGAGTGCATCAGCACAGCGTGTTGGCCGTGACTGGCCGTCATGGGGGCAACTCCCCAGCGCTGGCGGGTCTGTATAATATAGCAGTTCCTGGTCTGGTTGTACCCAGTGCGGTTTGACTGACTCCCTTGCAGCCTGATAAGCTGGCTAGCCGGTGGCTCTGAAAGGTGGGCGGGGTAACAGCTGTATGAGTAGAGTACAAAGCTTTATGAGGTCACCAGCGTTCTTTCATCTAGTTTGCAGGCTCTGTAGCTGCTGCTATTAGACATAGGAAGAAAACACTACTTTGTCAGGGGATGTTTTACATTCTAAACAACACCTTGTTTGGGTGGTGTTGGTGGTGTTTTTTTTTTTTTATGTAGTGTTTCTGAAAGGGATCCTGGCAGTAAATATAAGCCACCAGCTTGAGCAGTTCTTTTGTACTGACACTTTTGGATTGGTGCCTGTGTTAGCGTATTTCCTAGGGAAGTAGCAGAGATAGAATTATTCACTCCTCAGAAAAAGTTTGTTTATTTTATTAGCAGCAGCTTCAATATCTCCAATTTTCAGCACTTGGTGAAGATGCAGACTTTGCTTTTTGCTAGAAAGCCTTCGTGTGTGTTTCCATGCGTGGATCTTGTTTCCATGGCACCAACCTTTAAGCTCGAGAAGCATTGGTGGGAGCATTAGCCAGTGAATAGGCCTTAGGAACCAGCCCTGCTCCCGTGTAGGGCTCTGACACGTGGTGAGGATAATGATATGGGATATGGCAATGATTTATGCATTTTAACAGTCAGGGGTTAAAGCTTTGCCTGCCTGCAGTATTGTGGAATAGAAGGCTTGATGCAGCCCTGCTAGTGCTCTTGCAAAGGTGTTGCTTTTCCTGCTGCTTTGTCTTGATTTTTCTGAAGATGAGTCCATCCTGGAGTGTGCTGTGACTTGAATTATTTTTCTTGTCCCGTTTTCCTGAATGCTTTAATGTCTTGGCTAAGCACCTCTATCCTAAAGAGTCTGTTTTGTCTTCCTTGCCATTGTTGTGTTAGGATGGCATTGACTAAATGTTTTCCTGTCACAGCTGTGGTGTGGGTACATTGTGAGTAGTAGTGATTGCAGTGTTTATTTGTAACACAATCGCTTAAGCTAGTCTGTGTGTCAGTCTTGGGTATCTCTTTTCCAGTAAATGCTCAAGCACAGTGGGCTGAGTACAAGGACTGTTTTGTTAACTTCTATGGTTTTATGTTATGCAGACATTGAGGCGATTGCAGAAGTTTCTCTGGCCGTAAAAACTATAAAGTTTTGCACCCACAAAACCATATAAAATTTTGATGGTATGGACTTCTGTCTTTTTAATATACTTCTGTTTTATGTTTTATCATTACAAATGTACTTTTAAGAAGTAGAAGAATGCGCTTATTCATTTTATTCAGCTCAGTAGTACGTGTAATTGGCAGCTAGGTGTAAGACAATGAACCAGGTACAGGATTTTGAGGGGATTGCTCGTGTTTTAAATTAAAACTTGAGGGCACTCAGCAGGGTAACCTTGTGTAAGATTATGTCTGTAGTACGTCAGACAATTACGCCAGCAGTGACATTGCAGAAGAATTCAATGGGAGAGACAAGCCCTTGCAGTAGGCAGCAGGCTGCTGTCGGTGCTTGTGTTACCATCATTTGTGAAGAACTTATGAAAGCTTAGTGAGTGATACTATGTGGTATATGCTAAAGCAACTTAAACATCTGACATGTTCATAGCACCTGCAAAGAGGAAAGAAAAATACACTGAACTATGAGTTTGCTTTGAAAAGAAATTTATAACTGATTTCCGTCACTAATGAGCTTGGGAGAAAATGTTTGCATTGGTTTCTTTCTTTTTTTCTGCAGCTTTTAAAAATTAAACCAGCCTGCTGCTAATAGAAGAGTTGAGTTCTATTGTATTTTTTCTCCATTCTAGACAAATGACCATAGGGATCATATCACTTTAGGTTTATCACACTGAGCTTCTATACTTTGTGCAGTTCTACAGGGATCATCTGGAAAAACAGTATAGATAAGAGAAATGGAGATCATCATCGCCCTTTTGATTCCAGCTGTCTCTGGATGGCTCTGGTCTTGCAAAGGCTTAATCTGTGTTTGCTCTATGCCCGTGAATAGTCTTGTTGGATCCAGTGGATGTTGTCCAGGGTGTGATGTTTTTGCAGAATTGTGGCCAGTCTTACCCCTAAGGATTGAAATGTCAGTGGTGACTGTGTTTTGAAAAGAAAATGCCTGTTTATTAACAAAACAAACAAACATATCCCCCTGCCACCAAGCCCCTAAGTGAGACTACAAATGAAATTTCATTTAAAAGTGAGAGCACTTCAACTTTGATTTTGCATCCTACAAACTGTAGTTGTTTGTTTCAGGTTAATTTTTAATTTCCTCTCATAATTGTGGTTGTCTTCCTACTGGTAAGCGGGTTCTCTTTTTTTCATTCATACTTCTTTTTCAGATCGCATGTGGCTCAGAGCATAATCTGGCAGTCGTTGGTAAGTAGCTTAATTTTATATCAAATCCTCTCACCTTTTTTTCATTTTTAAGTAGCACAAGATGAAAGAAAAATGTGCACATCAAACATACTGAGTGATTAAGGGCATTGTGTGCAGCTGAAAGGAGGAAAGTAACATATAGATGTGGAGGAAAGAAGAGGAGAAGCCGGTAGCATAAGTGGTGATGATGAAAATGTACCCTTGTTGACCAGTCCCTGTAGGGAGAGAGAAGTTGATGGACGTAACAGCAAAATACATTTGCAAAGTGCTACAGCCTGTTTTAGAGTGGAGCCATTGCAACAATTCAAGCTGCAGGTTCAGAATAGCATTTAAGCTTGAAACTGGTCAAAAGTATCTTTGTTTAACGTGGAAATTTTGGATGAAAAAAAATCCTGGGTCTTTTGTTCTTCGAAGCTTGGAAAATCTTCAAAATGTCAGTCAATGGTAGTCAGGTTCTTTAGTGCATCTTAGTATAATGCAGCTGTTGTAATAACGATGAAAGTACTAGGAAGCTAATGTCAGTGGAAAAATTGAATTTTGTGTACTAATTCCAGGAACAGTCAGATTCTTGCTTTCATGTGATGAGTTGATAACTGAAGTTTGATACATGATTGCTATTACTTATAATTACACGTTTAAGAACGTTTTTAACTATAGATTTTCAGGTCCTTTATAAAGGAGGTCAGCATAATTATCCCCATTAATAGGCAGGGTGAGAGAGATGAAGAAAGGAATTCTATACTAATCAGAGCTGGAAATGAAACAGTCTTCTAAGTTTCAGTCCAGCACTCCATCCACGTAGACATTTTTGATTGCCATGACTGATGCGTTGAGATGTTAAGTGAAGAATTTCCTTGATTTTCTTGTGTGCTATGACAGGTGTGGACAAACCAGCTATTTGGTATCCAACCTGCATAACATGTCCTAATTTTTACAGTATTTATTTTAGCTTGGTGTCTTGTCTTAGTTTCATTAAGTGGCCACAGAAGTGATGTTCTGTATAGGTAGTATATTTCCATATATATTCTTGTATATATTTTCTAATTATCCTTCTACAATTAAACCTTGTAGTGAACTTGTTAAGATCTTAGTTTATGGCTGGCTTTAAGAAAAGATTTTCCCTTTACCTTCTCCCTACTTGTTCAGTGTCACATGCCTGTATTAATTGTCAGGCTGGTGCTTCTGAATGTCGCTTGAAGAGCAATCTGAAGAATCACATTGTGTTTCTTGCTGAATTGATGAAGTAAAAGTGTACTGCTAGCAAATTCCTCCAGTGTGCATGAAAGCAAAGCATTGAGTTTGAACAACCTTCTCTCTCCTTATGTCCTTTTAAGTTTTCTGCCTTCTAGGCAGAAATCTCTGGAAAAAATGGGTAGGGGAAAGAAATTCTATAAGTAAGTTATAATAAACTAAGAACTTTGCATATGTAAAGAACATCATATGCCTGTCTAAACTGTGTGCTACGCTCATTGAATTAAATGGGAAAATTATCAGTGCTGGAAGCTAGTCGATTTTATTTTAAGGACAACAGAGATGTGATGCTACTATTTTTTTGAACTGAAGAACTATGATACATTTTATTCCTGAAATTAATTTTTACATGTGCTTTTAAAAGGTTGACTTTTTAGAACATTTTGTGGTAGGATTTCTCTGATCACTTGTCACTCAGTTTAAAGCTGTCAACTGTTATATTCCTTAAAGATATCATACAGATTTCTGTAAATATGTCTATTTGATTGTACAATTTTCTAATAACTTATCATTCAAACAGTTTATTTAGGACAACTATATCATCAGTTTCTTAATTAGTAAATTCTTGTGAACGATTGACTTTTAGACTGAAATAACTCAAGTTCGACATGAAAGGTAAACTGAAAAGCAAGCCTTTAACAGTATAATATTCAAGTCACTATTTCTGGTTGTAGATACAAATGTGTTTGCTTTTTTTGTTGCATCATCTTTTAAATAGGAACATTTTTAAGACAGGCTAGATTTATGATTCATTTCACAAATGCTGAAGTTGTGTTGCAGTCATCTTGCTGATGATACAAACTGCTTGATTTGTAGGGCTAGCAAGCAGTTTTTTCATGTTACTTTATATAGTCTGCATTCAGTTATTTGAATTATCTTTTCTTACTTTCTTCTACTGAAGTCAGTGCAAAATTTGGATATTCTCTTCATTGTGATGGCACTGACTCCTTTTTCATGGGTAAATGGGAAGAAATTCAGTTTTCATTTGATCATGAGGTAAATGTTTGCTATAAATGAGAAGGAGGTGTGGGATGTCTCCAAATATACCTACATTTCTAAACTTAGTGAGTTAAAAGTAATAAGTAGTACATGAAAAAGTGTAAACATCTTTACTTCTGGCTCTTGGTGAAAACACATTTTTGTTTTGATTTGGGGTTGTTCTGTGATACTAATTCTAAAATTTGCAAGTATTGTAATATTTTTCATGTTCGTATGACCTTTCACTTGAAAACAAAAATCCCTGCCTAATAAGAAAAAACCTTGCGCTTTTCACCTCAATCAAGGACTAATCATCATGGGAGCCAGCCTATTTTTGATTGAAAAAAATGAATAGTTATTTAATAAATGTTGTATAACATCTCACATCTGAAAAACATCTTCCAACACTGAAAACTGTGTACGTAGTTACTGAGCACAACAAAGGCTGGCTTTTCAACCTGAGTACGATAGCTGCACTGTGTAGCACTGAACTTCATGATATTAAGACAGAAACTTTGAACGATTGAAATACATAATGAAACTAAATCACTGTGACAAAGTTGAGCTTTTCCAGGTTTGGGAGTTTATAGTGTTTTCAACACTGAAAAAGTAAGGAGGTTTGATTCTTACCCTAAAAAGCATGTGATTAAAAATGGTGTTTATGGAGAAGGCTCTTATGAGGTTCCTACCCACTCCCCACTAAGACTTTGATCCTCCTTTTTTTAAAAAGAGAATAGTTATCCTTTAAGAGAACACTTAGCACGCCATATGCAGCTCATACAATGCTACATCTTAAATAAGCAATATTAACTATGCAAAAGTAGGATTGCTATAAAACATGACTGTACTGCAAGCGCAGGGCACGGGACAGAATGCCTTGAAGAGCCTCCAAATGCAAATGTCTTATTTTAATAAAAATTAAACACAGAAATTTTATTCAAGCCTCCTTGAAGTAGTTAAAAAAAAAAAAAATCATTATAAGGATAACATTTCTATAATCTGGCTCCCCAAAACCTTGGTAAAGCATAATATCCCTTTTTGGTCTTGCTTTTAGTCATTTTCTCAACCTGTATAAGCCAATAAAACTCTTCTAAAAGAAAGATACTAGAGGATGTGTAGGGAGAGGTGCTTGTTTTAAAAAGTTTTAAAAGCTTATTAGCTTCAGTTGAAGTTCATCTTTAAAGCAGCCTTCAAAGGGGAATTTGGGTCCCCTTGACTGTATGTTTGTAAGCAGTTATTTCTTACCTGGTCTGTGCATGCCTACAGTAGTGCAGTGGCCGATACCAAATCTAATTGGTGATTTTTCTGCTAATGTAACGGGTAACTTGGACACTTTAAATATTTTTGTGTGTTTGGAAGAGAAAGATATGGACCTTTCAAGTAAACATTTTCTGGTATGGTGCTTTGAAGGGGAAAAGTGTTTGGACGTGTGGCTATTTCAAATAGTGCAAATGGCTTTTCCTTGCACTTGCTCATAGTCAGCACGGTGAATTCTGACTTCTGCTCAGGGCTATATAACTTTCTTGCATGGATGATTTACAGCCTCCTTCAGTGAGATAGTCCACAAATCCTGGCTTTGATACCGCTGTGTAGCGACCCACACCGCAGCAGGGGCACTGTCAGTGCAGTGACAGTGGTGCAGCAGTGTTCACAAGAAGAAACTGGGCTTCATAATTACTGTCTTTGTGCAGTTACTCCGTTGATACTTATCTCTGTCTCCTCTGGACTTTTTTCTTTTCAGGTTAGCTACTTAGCACTGCTTTTTCCCCATGAGTAATGGTAGTGGAGAGGGTACCGTGTAATTAATGTTACAACAACAACAAAAAAAACCTGCAGTGCCCAAGCTGGCCACGCAACCATAAGTGTGTTTTGCACACGGAGGCACAAGTGACGTATGAGGAGACAAGTCCCTGTCTGATCACACTGAGCCCCATTTCAGTGTGTTCAATGCAACAGCGTTTTCATACAACATTTTTAAAACCACTTCTCAACTTTCTGCTAAGTAATAGGCCCCTCCAGAAAAGGGACAGATTTGTCTCCCATAGCCTTTTTTGTTTGCTGTATTTTAGAATGTGTGATCTGTTTCAAGATTCTGTCTTCTCTGTGGCTTCTGTGCAACCACTGCTGTAAATATCACGACATGGGTATTCACGTCCCTCTGAAGCTGCAGTTCATCCAGTTGGAGAGTAAACAGTAAGACTAAATTTAATGGAAGAATAGTCTTTGTGGAGGAAATTTGGATAAAACATCCCTCCACTCAAATGGCAGGTCATGCATCGAATGCTGTGAACTAAAATGTGCAGTAGTGTCAGGGGGCAGTAAAAGAATCATTATTCCATGATCTGTTAAAATTTGCTCTTCATGTTCTTATGCTAGAAGAACATAGCAGTTATGAGCTGGAAAACAAAATATGATCAAAGTGATCCCAAACTTAGGGAGCCGGTGATACACATCCTAAAATGGTGGTGGTGTTAATGGCATCCCAGACGCTTTGGCTCCACATTTTGTAATAAGGAAAGCTGAAGGGTTCTTACATGGGAGCCACTACCTCTTAATTAACAGGGTCACATTCTTTTAGTGAAATTACATGATTCCAACTAAATTATTGTATAAAGCATCAGTTGAGGAAGGTACCGTAACAGATTATGAAAGGCATATTTCTATGGCAGAGTGAGCACCAATGGGGAGAGGAGACTGTGCAGTCTGATGGATGGATCTCTGCGTTATGCTGACAGTATTATTTAGATGTTCGCAGCAGCCCTATGAAGTGG